AAAAGATTTCTTCAGAAGCTTAATATTTATATTAATGAAAAAGAAATAAAAAACGATCAATTAATTAAACGAATTTTAAGCAAGTTCCAAAGATTACATCAACTTTAAGAATTTGAATTTGAGTTTTGTAATTTCATCAAATTCGATACTGGAATATTTTTTTCAACAAAGTTTGATTTTGTATGCCGTTGAATTAGCAATTCATTTGAAAAAAATGCTTTGTAAAATTTGAGAAAAACAAAATTTTTGAAATCAAACGTAAAATGTGAATGCAAAAAAGTGGGCGAATTACGGTAAGCATTCGAAGGAAAGAGAAGTTCTCACAGTAACTGTACATTGATAATGGTCAATGACGTACAATAGTCAGTGACGCACAATGGACGATAACGGCATGGATTTTCCCTCTATAGTTAGCATCTTTCACAACGATGATTGCCTTTTTTTGTAGACAAACGGGAGAAGTGGTCGAGAGGAACTGTGACATACTATGACATCCTTGTTCTCTAAGTAGTGAAATTATCTTACTGAAGTTTACCTAAGAAGTGAAATTAGTGAGCAGTGGACGGAAAAAAGGTGTAAATATCGGTCACAATAAACTTCAGTTAGTGAAAAGAATAAGTAAGGATCACGAGGACATATTAAACATTTTTTTTGTGGGTAATGTCCTCGGTCAGGAAATACCTCGAACAACCCATGGATGATTGAACATTCAATCAAATGGCCAATGGTCATCCTCCTTACAATTTAGTGAGGGACTGATTCGTCGAGAAATTGGAAGGTAGGGTTGAAATAAGAGAAACTGGCTTGGCTGAAATAGTCATTAGCTAGGCTGACAATACAACAAAGTGATGAACAGAACAGTGGCTGATTTAGGCATTACAATTGTAGACACAGTGTGATCCAAAAAAAAAGAAAAAAACGATAAACTTTAACTTCAGTGGAAAATTTGGCTTTTCTTGGAAAAAGAACCATCTGTGGTTCTTTAGAAAGACATACAAAGTAAGGAAAGGTTGGCTTTTTCTTTTAAATGACAAGTTCTTAATTAAAAGAATCACACATTGCATATCTTTTTGTTCCATCCAATAATTTTTTAAAAAATGGATGTGTAGGATGGAAAGATTATTGTGGATAAAAGCGCACCGGCTTTGTTCTCACAGTTTTTCTTTTATGTAAATTGGTTCACAACTGACCTAAAGATGCTTCTTTGTTGCACTGACTCCGTCACCACATAAGTAATAGCTGATTTAATTAATAATTCTGACTGCTGATTGGCTGCTCCATATCGTGTCACTCAAATTGTCAATTTATGATCACATTACTTGAAACATAAAGAGGTAATTATTGGATTAACGAATTATGACACTTTCTGTTGAATTGCTTTTTGATGCAACAAATTATTTCATCTTTGAAGTTTCTGTTTCTAACACTGACCTCAGTGAGATAAATTTAGATATTGGAAAAGAGGTGAGAAATATGCTAAATTTGGTCATTTGAATATAAGACATGTAATTTAAACCTGATGCATTTCTCAGTCTGAAGTTATTTTTGAAACGATTTCAGCATTTTTAAAGTCTCCAAACACTCTAATATGTGAATGTTTCAGGATGTTTAAATGAATGATGACTGCCAAGAAAACGTAAATTTATTCCATTTCTCATGCAATTATATTGAATGTGAAGTGATTTAGACAATTAGTTTCAAATTTTTGATAACTAAATGAATTGCATCTTTTTTTGATCAACCTGGGTTGCATTTGTGGGAAATCTTCTTTATACCACAATAAATAAGTGATATTGGTAAGTTTTGCGAGTGAAGTAGACTCAGAGTACATCAAATTAAGCAAATTTCACATCTTTCTCAACTTTTCCTGACTATCTAGAGGTTATCCCACTGATTAAATATGGAATAGTTCATTATATCAACAAGAAAGTGGCATTAGTTCGTTAATCCGATAATTGCCACAAAAATATACCTCAACGCCACATTGATATATTTACAGCTGTTATTACATTAATTTTTGAATTTTAAGGGAATATTTCAAATTTGCATGCAGTAACACAAGGAAAATTAATTAAAGACATGCGTTGGAATCAATAAATTTGAATTGATAGCTTAAAACAAACAGGAAAATATGTCCTGAAGATTTGAATGTCGCATAATTAATTACAATATTTTATCACTAATGAGAAGTGTAAAAATGCGCAAATTTGTTACTATTTATTTGTTCCAAATAGACATTTGTGCTTTTTTGTTAACTCACATAGCGTATATCTAAATTGTTTCTAAAGGTTTATGGATATTTGGATGAGGAGTATTAGATGTTGCTTAGAGTCAAAGGTCATGTTTCACCCACGCCATAGATCCTTTGAGCTTGATATTGTCTGTCAAAGAATGCGATACAGCAACAAGTGAAGTGAGGAAATGTATGAAGGATGTCAACGAAGAGATAGGGAGGTGAAAAAAACAATTTGAACTCTGTTAAATGTGTTATTATTGAGCTGACCACTACATCGATCTCTTAGCCGCTATCCACTCTTGTAGACTCTTCCTCATCTTCTTTTTTGTCTCTTAATTTTCAAAGTAAAAGTTAAACTTTTCAAGTTACTTGTGTTTGCTAAAAATGGAATTGTGGTGAGGATTGCAGGGCCTAGCTTGGCTGTCTATGTTGTAATATTCTATTCATTAAGATACAAAAAAAAACATTTTGTTGGAAGTTTATGTTCTCGTAATCCTTGCTTATTCCTTTTATTGATTGAGTGACCGATGGCTACACTTTTTTACTCATCTGCTTTCTACTTCATGTTTTAAGATTTATTTAATTCAGTGATAATAAAGGATTATTAAGCAGATTTTCCTATTTGTAAAGAACTTCCTTAAACCACCCTACTGGACATCAGGAATATATCACAATCCCTCCCAAACACTTTTGCCGTCATTTGCAAAAAGGTGGCCATCACTATCAAGGATATCAACGATGGATGGACATTCAACTCGCCATTCACCACTGTCCATTACTGCACTTTAGGCTAACTCTAGAGATTCCCCGCTTTTCTGAGTTTTCGACATTTCTCTCTTTTTTGCTTTCATAGACATTTCCATTGCAATCAATTTCATTTCCGAACTTTCGCACTCAATTTATTCTCTGGAATTATACTTTTCCTAACTTTTATAAAATTCCCTAATGAAATAATTTGTGTATTAACATGAGTGAAACAGACAGTAAGTGAGAAAGTGCAGAAGTGATGATGGTCAAAGGAAGGCAGACATACAGAGGACGGAGCCGCAAAAAAACGAAAAGTGCTGCTCTCTCTGTTATAAATAATGTACTATGTTGCCGAACTGACCACTGTATCAGCTGACCGACCCGCGATCTGCCGTCCATTCCAGTGGACACTTCCAATCCTCTTCTCCTCCTTCACCTATGATTATTGCGTTTTTCGTTGCGAAATGCATTGTGTCATGTGCGTTCATTTATAGCAAAGCGGATGAAATGGAAGAAATTTTGATGTGGAGGTAGAGAAGAAGAGGGTCATTTTATAAGACTGAGAACTGTATAAAGTCCGTCTTCATGGAGCTTTGCAACTTTTAAGTTTCGGCATATAATCCGGGAAAATTTTCTGACGAAGTTCCCGTATATTCGATTTAGTATTGGAAACATCTTTGTCACATCTGATCTTAAAAATCCATCTAAGCAACAGATCAGTTAGTTGGAGCTGAAAGTTAAGAATTAGCAAAGCTATCTCTTTTAAACTTGTGGAAGTTATCATGAAGTTAGTAAAAGTAAATGTCTTCACGCAGAAGTCCAGTTAGGAGTTCTTGTTGAAACTGTTCCCGAAAATTATATTTTCATTTTGGAATTCTTCAGATCCTATTGGTATTTTGGAACTGAAATAAGTGTTTTCATTTCCCAAAAAAGGGTTGTTTTTGGTAAGATGGAATAAGAGAAGGGACTGAGAATGTTAAAGAAATGGAGAGAAGGAAGGTCCCTCTTACAACCTCTGTCCACTCTCTTCTGTTTCCCTCTTGATTACAAAAAAAGCGACTATCGCTGTCAGGGATGTCAACCAGCAGTCGCTGACCACCCCTCCACTATTACATCTGCAGCAGCAAGCTGACCCCCAGCGATGGTCTCCTTCCTGACCCCAACCTCTGGCTTTCTCCCATTCTGCCTTATAGCATTAAAATGTGTTTCGTTTTCTTTACTTTTCATTTTCCACTCAAGTTCCAAAATTTTGCATCTCTCAAAACTTACAAAACTTTCTGTTCAAATCCTTTACCAATCGAATGGTTTGAAAATTTGGCTTTCTTTGGAATAAAAATTTAAGTTCTGTTTGGTGAAAAAAATGTTATTTACATGTTAAATTTGATGAAATTTTGAAATTACAGCAAAGTGTTCAAATTCTTCCAGCAACTTCTCTGCTCAATTCCAATTATTCTATTTAATTCTGATAAGTAATCACCAAAAGCACCTATAATGTTTGCAACTTAAACCGTGTAAGAAATAAGATTTTAAATCGATTTTCATAAATTTTATGTAAATTAGCTTCCATTACTTTTGTCGGAATGATATTTCTTATAAAAGTTAGGTTGTGATTCAAAATAACTGCAGCAAATTGCGTTAAATTCATAAAGCAATAAATTGTTTGAGTTTCAAAGTTTAATTCAATCACTGGAAATTGTTTGATTCCATTCCATTCATTTAATCAGTCGCTTTTTATTCCCTTTTTATTAAAATGAATATCAACCTTCTGAAGATGTCTTTTAAGGATCAAAATTGGCAGTGAACTTCTGATGATGAGATTCTAGAAAGCATTTTCTTGGGAAAGGAATAAGATAAATCGATTACTATTGTTGTTACTATAACCGTCTTTTTCTGTGGCTATCCTTCCATCCGTATAGAATTTTGCTGTCCTTCCATCCGTATAGAATTTTCACGCGTCTGTTAAAACATACGTAAAGCCAAATTAGCAAAGAATTTCATAATTTGATTTGAGCTTAAAATGACATCACCGAAACGCAAAGTTGAAGTGCATGAACAACTCCCAACTACAACTTCGCAGTGTGCAGTTGGAGCTGAAAGTATTCATATCGAGGTAAGCATTAATAAGTATTCATTCATAGTATCAATAAGTATCTAAACATATATGACAGGGATTGAGATGGGACAATATAGTAATGTACATGAATTGAATTTGCAGAATGCAATGAGTGTGGATCTGAAGAAGGTAACTAGTGAAAGGGACTTGTGGATGCAAGCTGAATCGTCTACCGGAGCTGCAGAACTGCAAACTGCTAAGCAAATGAGAAAGGAAAAGATGAAAGGTGGATGTGCAATAGAAGCTGCTGCAAAGGCGTTGATGAAACGAACTGAAAATGAAATGGAAAATACTCGTAAGGGTACGATTTTTTTTTGGGAATCGCTCACATGAGAATGCATTTTAATAGGAAGACGGCATTTGGTTACGGTAAGGAGGACGGTTCACTGATTAGATATACTTAGTGGAGTAAAAAAATCCAGTGGAACGAATCGAAACATGAATTAAATCATTTAATATCACATGATCGCAGTATCAATTTCGATGCCTTGAATTTTAATGATTTAACACTCGAAAATTGACACATTTTCAGTAAATGAAGAATTCGGTACGGTGGCAGTTGGAAATAGATCGGGTCGAAATAAACGGAAGACGAATTTTATTAGACGTATTATCCGTAAGCAATCGATGTTTATTAGAAATATTTTTCAGATAAATGGAAATATTTTTTAAAAAATAGGCATTCTTTACAAGACAGAGTACTTTTAGAAAACGACATCGAGCAAAGTGGGAGTAAAACGGAAAATACTGTACAGTTATCCTTTGATGAGACTGAAGAAAAGCCTGTTGATTTAAGCAATAGAAATGGACAAGATAATCTATTGGACAAGCAGCCTGATAAAGTGATGTCAGGTGAGCAGCATTGCAAGGAAAGGTCCAGGAAACGAAACGGTAAGGAGGGCGGAAATGGTGAGGATTTGACAATCTGCTTGTGATACTTTCCATCTTTCCGTTTTTCATCCTTTTCAGTTTGATTCAAAGATTTGAAATCATTACTTCAGCTTCATCAAGTGTTAAACGAAAGCGCACTGAATCGAAATTAGCAAACTATAGCAATAGAACATTTTCGACATTTACACCAGCAGAGCAAAAAGAACTTTGGCGCAATTCTTCATTTATTTATGAAGGAGCCACATTTTCAAGGTTTTTGTTTACTTTTATAATAAACATATAACTGTAATGGTAATGTCAGAAAAAAACATTGCAATATTAGTATCGTCACCAGTATGATTCTTTTCAGTTATGAGCAATTCCAAGAATGTTTTGAAGCTTACAAGAGGACGGGGAATTACCCGTATAGAACAGCTAGTTCCGAGATTCTCCGGGATGGCGAAGGACGAATGATCGATCGTTTTAAATATAAATATGTAGTGTTTCATTGTGCACGTTATGGTATTCCACGTAGAAGAGGTAATTGTTTGACTTTTTTCTTTCATTCTCTGTAATAACTTTTTAAAAACGAAAAGTTCATTCCACAATACGAATTCAGTGGTTTGTTTGGGCACTGAAATGATAACATATGCATGCCTTAGTATTATACTCTCTAAGACACTTTTCCTTTTAATAATGTCATCACTAATTTTTACACATAACAATAGCGTCATATGCCATGGATAGTTGCAATAGTCAACCGATTGTCAACTAATTTGTTTAAGAGAATTAATGAGATTGAAGTTGGAAGTTAAGGAATCCTGAGAAGTGTCAAATTTTCTACAAGAAATTCGGGTGTGAAATGTTTTAATGAGAACGAATGGAGAACTTAATAAAGTTCTGAATTCATTCACTAAAATATTCTAAAAAAATTAAGCGTTAAGCATTTCAGGATTGTATCTTTTTGTCATCCACTTTTTGATTTCATTTTATCGATCGCTTTTGTTTTGCCGATTTTGTTGATTTATATTTGGCTTGACTTTGCATAGGAATAATTAACACTTTTGTCGTGACAGATCAAAATTATTTGACAACAATTACAATTATATTGATCATACCGCTATCTATAAAAGTGCATGGCTTGCAACTTCATTTCCCATTGGATTTTATGGTACCAAAAGATTGAAAGAAGGCCTAAGAGCATTTTCATTTCAGCTTTATATGTGTTGGCTTTTATTGAGGATTAACGAAGTCCTCAATCTATAAATGTCATTTATTTGTTCAGTTAAGTAGAGAGTGGGAGAGAATTGGATATTAATCGAAGGAAAGCTGTTGCAGTTGATGGATGATTTGTTTATGGGTTAACCGCTAAACCCTTGCACC